TCATTTTGTTATAATGTTTTTGATTACTGTTTTTGAATACATCACATTTTTTTGATTACTAATAATGTATAAATTACCTTAGCATTGATATTAGATTTTTTTTTACTGGTATGTTAACTTATAATGTGCTGAGATATTTCCAGATGTGAATTTTGATATATCTTAAAATTGCAATAGTTTTTGCCTGTACTAGCCTTTGACCAGTTCCACTTGCCAAAGACCAAACTAGCCAAAGACCAGAAGAGTTTATCCTGAGGTTCTGTGTCCAGTGTCCATCATCAGTTGATACACCTTAAGTTCTCAGAAAAAAGTTTTGAACTTAGCAAGCAGATTCATTCAGATGTCAGTTTGGACCTAAATGTAAATGGTACACCAGGACATACAGTATAGCAACCATAGTGATCGTTGTAAAAATTTTGCAATTGATACAACTACTTTTACCCTGGATTTAGACCAAAAGATTTTTTTTATAACATGGAGTTGGTAATATTTGAAGATGGTGCTGATCTGACAGCCAACATGCTACCATGGCCATTTTGAAAATCTTGTTATTGCTACTGCTCCTAAATAGTACAAACTGTAGTATCACTAATTTTCATGGGGTACCAATCTTTTGTGGATGAAACAAACAATGAATGTAAAAACTCAACAAAAAATTGGTCACATAATATGAAAATGTACTCCCACCCCTCATTTTCTTACTGTTTTATTCCTAGAAATCCACAAACTGATTTGATAAATCGTCATTTCTGTAATCTGGTAATATAAACTATCTTTTATACATGATTTTTTTTAACTGAATGAATAAAAGATTCACAAAATATTTTATATTGTTATCTATATTGTTATCAGTGCATACATATCTATTCTTAGTTTTAACTCACGGCCATAAACCTATATTTAACATAAAGGGAGAAAGAAAAGAGAAAACATAAGGCATTCGGACACTAGTACTACTGAAATGAAAGATAAAAAACTGATACTAGTATGTAAAAATTTGATTTAATACTTTTTAAATCAATTCTTTATTCAAGCAAAACTATCAAAAATTTAAATCCTTGTGAAAGCTTCTCCATTTATACTATGCATGTGAATTCCCAATGAACAAATGACTGCAAAATACTATTGCTTAAACACAAGTACTGTGAGTTACTAAGTATATATATATATATATATATATATATATATATATATATATATATATATATATATATATATATATGCAATAAACTGACGATGAACAGTACGAAACTAGTAACTAACTAGCCTAAGCGCTTTCAACTCTTAATGAGTCTTTTTCAAAGGCAAATACAAAACATATATATGACAAACAAATAAACACAAAAACGTTGTGTTTGTAAACCTCTACATGGCTGTCTCCACATGTGTTAAAACTATAAATACAACCAGCTTGTATAGACTAGTTGTGGAAACTGAAAACGGTGTATAATTCCCTAAAAGTCTACAAGCCAAAGCGACATCTATTTTTACTTTTTGTACATTTATGTAACGCAGATTATATCCCAGATATTTGATTCTATACTGGTTATTCTTATAGTAAAAATTGAAGGATAATAAGAAGATTTAGAAAATGTTACATTCTACTAGTGCATAGTTTTCATTTTCTAGTCTTCTTGGTTTAGACCGGTATAGAATCAAATATGACATGACACAGGCAAAAAAAAAGGAGTGTTTGCAGTGCTATTGTCCTTTCAAAAATTTAGTTAACACCTGTACACTTAGATGAATCTCAACACATCAAATGTGCACACTGCTTGTTAACTACATTGAGAAAGGGTAGCTGGTGATGACTTTGTCCAAACTGAATGTGATCTTGGTTGAATTTTACCATAAGCCACTGTGTTAATCATATGATCATCAGTCATCAAAAAGTATTTGCTGGTGCAATTTTATGGACAGTGGTTTAAGGAAAAAGTCATACATATGTAGTTTTACCAATTAGCTAAATATTATTGGCAGTGTTGACTTTGATACTGAGTATAAGTGATTGATCTTGACTGGTCTTTCATTAGTGCTCATATAGTTGGCAGAGTTGTTTTAAATATTGCGTTGACCCTGCCGTTTGTTGTAGGCATGCTTTTGCTCTTTTGCAGATTTATTTAGAGTATATGTAGAGGCTGATTCACAGAATTAATTATACCCACAAATAAACAAACTTCAACAAGCAAAACCACAAATTTAAGTATCATGAAAATGTCTTTTTCCAAGAAAACAATGAAAATTGAGACCCATGAAAATAAATAATACTTCAGTACTTGTATTTTATTAACTGGTAGGTTTTGAGAATCTTATCACTACTTCACATGGTGTTATTTACATGCTGTATTATTCGGTTAAAGGTTTTACATGACAGATAGAAAGTTCTAAGGAAAGTAGAGTAATGATCAGATATGGCTACCATGTTGACCGTCTCAACAATTGTGTTACTGATTCTGCACAGATGTTCATATTTATGTGAGGTTCTAACTAAAATGCTTCTTAAAACATGATGACACTGGTGGTCTTGACAATCTGTTTATTACAACATACTCTGAACAGATGGCTACATGGACATTGGAGTTTTTGCTGTAAGCCTTCTAATACTATGTAGCTGGTCCTGTGTGAAAATAGTGTAGATATGATCCAGTATGACCACCAAAGCAGTTACCTTGATATTTTTATTTGTGATTACTTCTCCAGAATAGATTGTCATATGGTTTTTCACAAATATACTTACTACAGATGTAGTTTTCGTTCATGAAAATAATGCTAACCTAATTTCAAAAATAGCTGCCTTGATGGCCATTTTAAGAATTATTTCAAATAGCACTAAGCAGTATCAGTCAAAATCCACTAAGTGGAGTAGATTCTTAAAATCTTGATAATATTGATTGCTGGGGAGGATTTCAAATTTAAGCCATATCCAGTCATACCAAACTGTTGAATGTTTCAATAAAGGTTTGTAACATCTCTTGGAAAGATCTTTTCATCCTATTAAAAATTTATATTTAGGAAATAACTATTTGACTTTTTGATCATGTAAAATGGCCATGAGATGAAAAAATGTATTTATTCTAACCTTCATTTTCCATTCACTCTAAACCTGATTTTGTGTGCCATGCCTTTGTGTTGTATTATTGCACAGGCTTAAATCGGTGGACAACATGATGTTTGTTCCAGATTTATTCCAAAACCAAGCCAGTAATAAGATGAACACCCAGAAGTGCCCCAAACTTCCAAGTGTGTGACAAATTTTGTCCTATTTGGACACCTTGAAAATTAATAATTACTTCTTCTGATATGGATTATTTAGTCCAAAGTCTATACTTTATAGTGAGTTTTTATATGTCTGCCTTAAGATTGAGTATATTTTGTTTTGATGCATGTCCTTCTGTCTGTTGCCAAATGTATTTCGACACAATAACTCCAGCAGTCCACTATCTATAGTTACTGAACTTCAATGATGGCTTTCATGATGGTTAAGGAAAAACCCTTATCAAGATCAGCATAAAATGTTCAAAGGTTAAGATAGTTGTGAAAGAATAAGTGTAGTGTCTGGACAGTAGCATTATTTCTATATCACATATCTGGCCAAACATTGTTGATGGCTTGTATTTGGTGTCAGGAAGAAGCCTATAGATTTAGGGTTCAAAGGTCAAAGGTAAAAAACCAATGTGACTTAGAGAATAAAAACTGCATCTGCAGAGAAATTTAAGTCATTGCCTATGTACCATCACCAAATTTTGTGTGGTAACTCGCACATTGGGTAAGAAAAAGCCTATTGATTTGGGAATTAAAAGGTTAGAAGTCAAGACCTTTGTAACTGAAAGAAGAAAACGAGTGTTTTGCCTTAAATCTTTGATTCTGAATAACAAACCTTGATCAGGGTGTGGAATAAATTGATTTGGCACTGAAAATATCAAGTGGTCAATTTTGCACCAAAAAAATTGGTTTGGTTCTAGAGTACATTAATTCTGGTATCTGTAGGTCAGAGTTCAAGATCTTGGTATGTCGTATCAGGCATCAGCAGTTTCTCACATTGAATTTAGTCTTCTTTGTCCTTTTTAATATTTGAGTCACCAAATTTTTTTATGTAGAATAGTATTACAAACTATTGATGTTTTTCTCAGACAGTCTTTGGTAAGGTCATATATGACAATATACAATATTCAGTAAATATGTTTCTATTGTGTCCACATGCACACCTGAGAAAAACTATATTGCTGAAAACAGTTCATGAATCCTTTAGTTGTGATAACAGTGGAGGTCTTAATTGCAGTTAAGATTATTTTCTATGCATGGTGCCAACTGTCTATGACACTTTTTACATTAAATTAATGTTCAACCATCTTGCCTTTGCATTTTATTTCATGCCTATCTCCATATATTTTGAACCATTTCAGATGCATCATAGGCCATACATGTTTTGTTACAGACATATCTATGTACTGAAGAAGATAGCCCTGTAAATAAACACAAATTTCAAATTATCTACACTACATATATATATATTTCCTACCCATGTACATTAAGATAGCACTGAACAGTACTGATCAAGCTCGCATTCACCATGTTGAATGGAATTTCACCAACTGCTTTACATAGAAGTAATAGTTTATGTGTATAAGAGGACAAAGAAACTATCTAAATCAAATATTTGCATGACAGACAGAATAGGTTATTTCACTCATGTAATTTTACACCAACCCTTTCTCCAGAAATAGTTGAAAAACACTTCGTTTAAATATTGTTATTGCTACTTCTTCAGATTTGTTAGTCATAGCAACATGAGGTTTTGATGAAAAACTTTTTTTGATATATCAATTCTAAATTAAATTGATGTCAATTAAACCTTCAATATGGCCACTGCAGTAGCCATATTGAAAATGTTGTTATAGCTACATATCAAGAACAGGTAGTCTTTTTGACACATGGTTTTCACCTTAAAACTTCCTAATACATATACTTCAATAAATATGGTACTGATCAATGGTGGTAACTGTACTGGTGGCCTAATGGTTAGAGCATCCCCCTCAGATGTGGGAGGTTGTGGGTTTGATCCCCGGTTGAGTCATACCAAAGACTTAGAAAATTGTACTAACAGCTGCCTTGCTTTGCACTCAGCATTAAGAGGTTAGTGTTAGGCTGGTCAGCTTGCTATCAGGAAAATGTGACTGGCTGGGACATTATGCTAATGTCTGTGGCATCTTGCCCCATTGCTAGACATCACTGTAAACTGTCACACTGTAGACATCATTGCGATATGACCGAAAAATTGTTAAAGCTACATTAAAAATCCAAATCACATCACACACAACAATGGTGGCCATCATGAAAATATTATCATTAGTCCAGTTGATGTGATAACCGTATCAAAACAACTTTTTGATTAATAAAACTTCAGTTGGTATCTTCTGGTCCCCGTTGACAATGTGACATCCCAAAATATAATAAATATTTTAACAGCTATCTCCAAATGGATAACCATACCAGCTTTAAAAAAATGCCTTTTACTCTAAGTACATAGTTACCCCTATTATTCAAATGATGCTGAACTAAAATACAAAAACGACTGCCCTGACAATCATCTGAAAATTATTATATGGCTACTTCTTCTGTACATATAGTCATATCGACATAGGGTTATTAATGAAACATTGTAGCAATATGCATCTAGTTCTAAAAGAAAATCGTGCTCATCTGACCTTTAATATTGCACCATAATTGCAATCTGTAAAATCATACTGCTATTCTTATAGGAGTGGTGCCTTTAATGGGCTTTTCACAAAAGCACTTGCAATATTTTAATTGGTTACGAACAAGATCTGACCACTGACATACATACACAATTGAGAATGAGTTTTGAAACCAGATCTAATTAATGTTTGGGTCAAATTAAAGGCCAATTTTGCATGTTCACTTTTTACTGAAATTGCAAACACAATGTCTTGTACATAATGATTTGAAGATAAAACTTCTTTGGCTTGAATTTATAGCTGTACAAGCTTGTGGGCAGGGTATCACAAACAAGCTTGAATGGATTTTTATCTTTATTATATAAAACCCAGATTGTGGATATATCTTGAATGATATCATTTAAATAACCATTTTTGAAAAATATTTATTGTGAATTTAGATAAACTGAAGTCATGTGATTATACTGTCACATTGATTTTCTATCTAATGTATCTGGTGTCAAGGTCAAAGAACATGACAAAGATTTTGTATTGCACTTTAGGTAACATGTGAATATATTAGCTGATACATACAGGTAGTTATTCTTGTTACCAATTTGGATGTTGGAGTTGTTTTAGTAATATCAGTTACAAAAATCAAATAACCAAAGAAATAGTCTTACCTTGGATTCCTGGACATTCTTTACAACCATTAGAATGTCTGCCTCTTTGTTGGACTTTTATTATTATAATGAATGTCATTTTTTTTAAAATTGAGTATCAGTTGGTATTGGGATTTATTTCTCTCATCTTGTGATCCCATAGAGAAAATCAAGGTCATTTAAAAATCTGGATAAAGTGGGGGTACAGTACAATGGAATCACAAATACTAGATGAAAATGTCAGCAGAATCTTGAAATAGCAGAAAAGAATTGACAACAAAGATTAAAATTCTTAAATAATTTTAATATCTGTCTTAGAGTGAAGACTGATAATCAGGGTAACCATGGTTACTGCTTTTGTTCATAAACATAAATAAATGTAAAACTTAGAAAACCCTCATTCCAAAATGCATGTGTTCACAGAAAACTGCATGTAGCTAAAATATACAAAGAAAAAAATGGAAATTTTTTGACTTGATATTATTGATGTGACCTAGATATTATTGACATAGGAGATGTGGTGAACCTAAATAATAGTATTGTTGATGTAAGAGACACAGTGAACCTAGATATTAAGGGTATGAGTGACATGATTAATATATTTCCACTTGTGATAATCCCATTAACATAAGAAATACATTTTCATGCTTTGTGTAATATATATATAAATCATATGGCGAATAATAACCCTTTCAAGCGTACTGGATCCACCAAGGGATCACGTGTGTCAGGGATTAATTAAAATAGATGCAATAAACTGACGACGAACAGTACGAAACTAGTAACTAACTAGTCTAAGCGCTTTCAACTCTTAATGAGTCTTTTTCAAAAGCAAATACAAAACATATATACGATAAACAAATAAACACAAAAACGTTGTTTGTAAACCTCTACATGGCTGTCTTCACATGTGCTAAAACTATAAATACAACCAGCTTGTATAGACTAGATGCGGAAACTGAAAACGTTGTATAATTCCCTAAAAGTCTACAAGCCAAAGCGACATCTATTTTTACTTTTTGTACATATGTAACGAAGCTTTTCAGTTATTCCGATAGAGACCAAGACATTCACTAGCACAGTGACTAAAGAAAAACTAAACATACATGGTCCAAACAAAACGTGCAAAACAGAGAATGTGATTTATCTCATCACATGTAAGA